TTTTTTTATTAAAACTATATATTTTTAGTCAGAAAATGATGATGACGATATTGCTGTATCATGTTTGATTATTAGATACATAATTATATCGGGAAAAATTCCAAAAAGCAGAGACCACGGGTGAAACCAGTTCATTATTTTGTACGCAGGAACAAAATTCTAACAGAAAAACATTCATTCGAGCAGAATGAATATTCGTAACAAATATTATTTGAATAAAAACATTTAATTGGGTAAAACTTGCCCGGTCATTCATCTAGTATTACATATAAAGTTGTTTGAAGAATTTAAACGTTGATATTATACTTTGATATATAATTGTTAAACTTCAAAATTTTGTTTTGGAATTTAAAATATTCGCTATTAACCTATAAAATAATTCATAATACAATATATTGCCGCTTTTTTTTTTTCGGGGCTCAAAAATCGTTCATTTTGGTTAGTGTTATGATTGATCCGGCAACACTGCCGACTCGACTTGTAAACACTCTCAGATATATAATCATGTTATAATAAATAGATGTTAATAAATAAATACTTAGTTCAGTTGCATTCTGCGTGATCAAATAGATACAAGAACAACATAAACAACATGGTGGCAGCGGAAAAGTAAGTACTTTTTCAAATAAATATATTATTGAAAAATATTAGTGAAAAAAAGAAAACATGGACTTTGTTAGGCCTAGCGAACTCGCCCTGCACGGAAATGTAGCGGAAAATTGGCGAAGGTTCAAACAGCGATTAATGCTTTATCTTGAAGCAACAGAAAAAGCCACAAAGCCTGATAAACTGAAAGTTGCCATTTTATTAAATTTTATTGGCGAAGAAGCCTTGGAAGTTTTCAACACATTTCATTTAAAAGAAGATGAAGCAGAAAATTTCGATCTTGTAATAAACAAATTTGATGATTTTTGCGAGCCTAAAAAGAACGTCATTTTTGAAAGATTCAAATTTTTCTCAGCGACCCAGAAGGATGGTGAATCCATCGATAGTTTTATAACAGAACTAAAAGGATTATCCACATCATGTGAATTTGAATCACAAAAGGATAGTTTAATTAGGGATCGCATTGTGTATGGAATACAAGACAAGGCTTTGCAGGAACGCCTCTTAAGAGAGCCCAATTTAACTCTTCTAAAAGCCATTGAAATGTGCAAAACAGATGAAATAAGCAAGCAACAGATCAAGATCATGCAGAACAACCAGAACATTTGTCAAATAAGAAAATATGAAAAGAAACACAGTCCAAAACAAAATCAAGAATCTGAAAAAGAATTCAAATGCCAAAGGTGTGGAAAGTCTCACAGAGCAAAAAATTGTCCTGCATGGGGTAAAAGATGCTCCAAATGCAAAAAGATGAATCATTTTGCAGCTTTCTGTAAAAGTTCAGCTATCAGAAGTCTGAATGATGAAACAGAAGAAACTGTATGGTCAATACATGAAGCAAAAGTAGTCCATACTTTGGAATGGAAAAAATCCATCATAGTGAATGGAAAGGAAATATGTTTCAAGTTGGACTCTGGAGCAGAAGTAAATGTTTTGCCATACACATTCACCAGACAAATGAAAGGTTTGGAAATATTTCAGACTAACCGAAAGCTAACATCATATACAGGACATGAAATCAAGATAAAAGGAATTGCCACACTAAATTGCAAAACTAAAAATAAGACGGAAAGTCTAGAATTTTTCATTGCTGATGGATACTATCAACCAATTTTAGGAATAGAAGCTATTGAAAAGCTTTCACTAATTAAGAAATGTGATGCTGTCCAAACAGAGCAGAACAATTCAGCAAAGGAAATTTTGAACAGGCACAAAAATATATTTGAAGGCATAGGAAGACTGCCAATTGAACACAAGATTAGACTAAATGAAAATACAACTCCAGTTATTGCTCCAAGCAGAAAAATTCCTTTTTCCATTAGAGAAAAAGTTAAAGCAGAATTGGAACGGATGGAAAAACTTGACATTATTGAAAAAGTTGAAGAACCAAGCGAATGGACACACCCTATTGTAGTGGTACAAAAACCTTCTGGGGATGTCAGAATTTGCATGGACCCCAGGGAACTGAACAAATATGTTCAGAGAGAGCGCTATATTCTGCCAACAGCTGAAACAATATTTTCTGAACTGAAAGGTGCTACAGTTTTCTCTGTATTTGATGCATCATCAGCTTTCTGGCAAGTCCCATTAGACAAAGAAAGCACCAACCTGTGCACCATTGCGACTCCCTTTGGAAGATTCCGGTTCAAGCGACTTCCCTATGGATTGAACAGTGCATCGGAGGTATTCCAGCGATGCATAAACAATATCCTTTCAGGTCTCCAGGGAACTGCTTGCTATATGGATGACATCTTGATCTATGGAAACACAATGGAAGAGCACAACCGAAACCTTGAAACAGTTCTTCGAAGGTTGGAAGAAAATAATGTCAAGCTCAATGCTAAGAAGCAGCAGATAGCTGTCGACAAAGTAAATTTCTTAGGCCATATAATCAGTCGAGATGGAATAGCCATTCAAGCTTCAAGAGCAGAGGCAATACAAAAGTTGAAAAGACCTGACAACAAGACTGAAGTCCAAAGATTCTTAGGTATGGTAACGTACCTTGGCAAATTCATTCCTAATCTGTCTGACAAGACTGCACCTCTAAGGAAATTGATAAGCAACAAGAGTGAATGGAAATTTGGAGGCGAAGAAAATGATTGTTTTGAAAAACTCAAGAATATGGTTTCGAATGCTCCAATATTGACATTTTTTGACCCAACCAAGCCAATCACCATTTCATCTGATGCAAGCCAATATGGTATTGGTACAGTGCTCATGCAAGGGGGACAAGCAATTGAGTATGCGTCCTTCAGCCTGAATGCAACTCAAAGAAAATACGCACAGATAGAGAAAGAACTTTTGGCTATAGTCTTTGGATGTGAACGCTTCCAGTACTATATTTGGGGAAATGATGTTATTGTGGAAACTGACCACAAACCTCTCCTGAGTATTGTTAAGAAACCTTTAGAAAAGCTTTCCCCAAGACTGCAAAGAATGGTCTTACGTCTCATGAGATTTCAAATATCTTTGAAGTTTACACCAGGGAAAAACATGTTTGTAGCTGACCATCTGTCTAGAGATCCATTAAAAGATGAGGTGGACACAAGCTATTTAGAAGGTCAAACTGAATCAGTGCACATGTTGCTGGTTACCACAGATGAAAAAATAAAGAGACTACAAAAGGAAACTCATGGGGACCACACCTTGATACAACTAATAGAGTATGCGAAGAATGGATGGCCGAAATATAAAACTATGGTCTGTGATGAAGCAAAACCCTACTCGCAATTTCAAGATGAAATTCATGTGAGTGACGGAATTGTTTACAAAGGAAATTGCATCATGGTGCCATCGACTCTTCGAAAAGAAATCCTGCAGGTTGTTCATTCATCACACCAGGGCATAGCAGCTTCCAAAGAAAAAGCAAGATCAGCATTTTACTGGCCAGGCATGATAACACAAGTAGAAAATGAAGTGGAAAAGTGCAGAACATGTCAGGAATATTCAAGAAAGAATCCTGAGGAGTCAAGAATAGCTCATGAAATCCCTGAATTTCCATGGGAAAAAATTGCTGTAGATTTCATGGAGGTGAGTGGAACCAGTTCCATCTTGGTTGTCGATTACCACTCAAAGTTTGTTGAAATCCGTAAATTATCAAGCAAAAGAGAAACCGAAACCATCATGCAGTTGAAAACCATTTTCAGGACTCATGGAATTCCAAGAACTCTAGTTTCGGATAATGGACCCCCTTTTAACTCTACTGGATTCAAAAATTTTGCTCAGAAATATGAATTCAAACACCAAACCTCCAGTCCCAAATATCCAAGATCTAATGGACAAGTTGAGAGGACAATTCAAACCATCAAAGGACTGATAATTAAAGCTGTGAAGTCAGGAAGAGATCCCAATCTGGCTTTGATGGAGTTCAACAACACACCTAAGTATGACTTGCCATCTCCGACCCAAATGCTTATGGGAAGATCTGTGAGAACTCTTTCGACATACACCCGACAACAGTTGAAACCACTGTTTGACACAACAAAGAATTACCAAAAATTGAGAGACCATCAACAAAAGTATGCAGGAAGTCCAAAGAGAATTTTGAGACCTTTGGAAGTAGGAGACAACATCATGTTGCAGGAAAGGCATAGAAAATGGGTTCCGGCAACAGTGACAGCAAAGCATGAAACTCCACGCTCATATATGGTGAAAACACCAAGTGGGTCTGAATACCGCAGGAACAGGTCTCACCTTAGACCGAGAAAGTTCAGTGTAGAAGATTCTGCCCCAACAAGTCAAAGTCCAAGCATTCCTGGATCTCAAGCAGGGACAGCCATGGATGACAACATACAAGATCACGGAAGACCCACTTCCGAAAACAGAAGAGCATATGATCCAAGGGAGGCCATTGCCAAGAAAGGTGAAGAATCATCTACTTCTCCTAGTGTGCGAACCCGCAGTGGTAGAACAGTGAGAAAACCTTTGCGTTATAGAGACTAGGAGAACTGCAATCCTTTTTTATTTTTGTTTAAAGGAAACATGTTATGATTGATCCGGCAACACTGCCGACTCGACTTGTAAACACTCTCAGATATATAACCATGTTATAATAAATAGATGTTAATAAATAAATACTTAGTTCAGTTGCATTCTGCGTGATCAAATAGACACAAGAACAACATAAACAACAGTTAGCAGCCCCATAAATAAAGATATTTTCTCTCTCTCTCTCTCTCTCTCTTATGATTGTAGAAGACATTTGAAAATTATTCCGCATGTGTTTGTTTTGAACGAAAAATCTAAATTTATTTTAAGGAGAAATAACGATTATTTCTAACCTTAGGGATGAAGTATGAATGGATGAATTGTGAAGAGAAATGATAAACGGAAAAATAAAGTGTCCAGGGATGGGAATTGAACCCACAGTGTTCCGCTTACTGGGCAGATGCCATGTCTAGGGTAGTCTAGTGGACATGGCATCTGCCCAGTAAGCGGAACACTGTGGGTTCGATTTCCATCCCTGGACACTTTATTTTTCCTTTATCATTACTCTTCACAATTCATCCTTTCATATTTCTCCTTAAAATAAATTTCGATTTTTCGTTCAAAAGAAACACATGCGGGATAATTTTCAATTCTACAACCTATAAAATGTTTATATTGTACCATAAAGTGTGTCCTTAGTAAACTTTTAAATGTGTTTCTTAAGAGTCCAAAACCTTTAATATTTAGGCAAAAAAAAAGTCCTTATTAGAAAAAAAAGTTTTTTTCAAAATAAAAAATGACCTCAACAAAAACAGTACTGAAATAAACTAATTTCATTTAAAAATAAAGTGCTTCAGTTTAAAATTCGAAAATAAAACTTATTACTGTTAAAGTTTCAAATAAAATAGAAAGAAAATCGCTTAAAATGGAAATGTTGCTATTAATGTATAAAATGCTCTTATTGAAGTGTAAAATATTGTTATTAAAATGAAAAATTTGCTATTTAAGTGTAAAATGTTGCTTTTAAAGTGTAAAATGTTGGCAATAAAGTATAAAATGGTGTCTTAAAAGTGCAAATTCCATATATTTTAATTTTCAGGTCTTGTGTTTCAGAGAAAGTTATTGGTAATTAATTTTCCTAATAAAGAATGCTATTCTAGATAGCCATATATTTTCCAATTATTCAAAATTAAGAAAATATGTAATATAAATTTTTGTCAAGTTTAGTTATCACTGATTAAAAGTTGTTTCTACCTTTACGTTAGAGTTTTGCTCCAAGCAATTTGTTTATTTTTTTTTAGGCTTATAGCCTTAATATGAACCCAAATGAGGATTTATCTCATCGAGAGTTATGTTACTTAAATGAAATTGAAAAAAATGCAGAAATAATAAAATCATTGTCTAATACAAAAGAAGTTACGACACAAAAGCTACGCCATTTGTTTCAAGAAACTGCGAAATATATCTCAGAATTATATAAAGGTAATTGTTTATGTTTTTATATCTACTTTCAATTTAAATATAAAAATGTTTATAATTATATTCATAGTTTAATGATGTTTTATTTGATAATTTTTCCTTATAGTTAATAAATTAGGGTTCAAGTCCAATGTTTCAATTTTGAAGATTGTTGTATATGTAAAATATTAAAATTGGTTCGTATATTGACCAGTAATCATTTAATAATTATTTTATTGATAAAGAGTAAGGAAATTAATAATAATGACACATTCTCATTTGCTCTCTAAAATATTTATTTTAAAAGTTGGCCTCCATCTTTGTTTATGTAACAGTTGCTCAATTTATCAACCCTTTCTGTCTACAATAAGGAAAGATAAAAGAATAAACATTTTGAAAATTTAAAAAAATAAATAAATCGTATTTATTAGTATATTTAATGTAAAACACATTAAATAATAAATAAAATTCTATATATTTTTGATGACCTCTCCTTTGACTTGAAATCATAATGATTAGCAAACATTTTATAAAGCTTAATATCAAACAAATATTTTAGATTTGTTAAACTAAAACTAATTTAAAAATAATTAAGCACTAATTTGTATAATAAATTTTTTTTTGCATAAGATTTTAATGACTTAAATTTTCAAATGATGTTTTAACCTATGCTAGTCTATATAAAAATTGTATAGAAGATTAATACATTTCAAATATAAAATCTTCAGGCAACATATTTTAAGCAAACTAATCATTTTAAAAACTGTCAATGCCAAACCAATCATTGTTCAATTTATTCAAATTGGTTCATATTTTCTTTAACAATTTATAAAATGTATGCAAAGTTAGAAATATCCCAGTTTTTATAGATTTGGTTTACAAATGGACTTTTAAATATTAATTTAAAAATATTCTTGAAGGTAGTCGATATAGCAGTCAATAAAATGTTACAAAGTAGAACCACCCATGAGAGTTTCTAGCCTATGTTCCTGGTTTGTCATAGGGTGATATCACAGTTGCCACCTGTGTGAGGTATCCTCTGTATGAATGCCGACCAGGCAACCTTATAGCTTCAATATAATTAAGACCAATTTTGGTCCCGAGGTGTCAGAACTGTCTCTTGATTCTAAGAACTATGAATGCCGACCAGGCAACCTCTATCTTCAAGATAATTAAGACCAATTTTGGTCCCGAGGTGTCAGAAGTGTCTCTTGATTCTAAGAACTATGAATGCCGGCCAGGAAACCTCTATCTTCAATATAATTAAGACCAATTTTGGTCCCGAGGTGTCAGAAGTGTCTCTTGATTCTAAGAACTATGAATGCCGGCCAGGCAACCTCTATCTTCAATATAATTAAGACCAATTTTGGTCCCGAGGTGTCAGAAGTGTCTCTTGATTCTAAGAACTATGAATGCCGGCCAGGCAACCTCTATCTTCAATATAATTAAGACCAATTTTGGTCCCGAGGTGTCAGAAGTGTCTCTTGATTCTAAGAACTATGAATGCCGGCCAGGCAACCTCTATCTTCAATATAATTATGACCAATTTTGGTCCCGAGGTGTCAGAAGTGTCTCTTGATTCTAAGAACTATGAATGCCGGCCAGGCAACCTCTATCTTCAATATAATTAAGACCAATTTTGGTCCCGAGGTGTCAGAAGTGTCTCTTGATTCTAAGAACTATGAATGCCGGCCAGGCAACCTCTATCTTCAATATAATTAAGACCAATTTTGGTCCCGAGGTGTCAGAAGTGTCTCTTGATTCTAAGAACTATGAATGCCGGCCAGGCAACCTCTATCTTCAATATAATTAAGACCAATTTTGGTCCCGAGGTGTCAGAAGTGTCTCTTGATTCTAAGAACTATGAATGCCGGCCAGGCAACCTCTTATCTTCAATATAATTATGACCAATTTTGGTCCCGAGGTGTCAGAAGTGTCTCTTGATTCTAAGAACTATGAATGCCGGCCAGGCAACCTCTATCTTCAATATAATTAAGACCAATTTTGGTCCCGAGGTGTCAGAAGTGTCTCTTGATTCTAAGAACTATGAATGCCGGCCAGGCAACCTCTATCTTCAATATAATTAAGACCAATTTTGGTCCCGAGGTGTCAGAAGTGTCTCTTGATTCTAAGAACTATGGATGCCGGCCAGGCAACCTCTATCTTCAATATAATTAAGACCAATTTTGGTCCCGAGGTGTCAGAAGTGTCTCTTGATTCTAAGAACTATGAATGCCGGCCAGGAAACCTCTATCTTCAATATAATTAAGACCAATTTTGGTCCCGAGGTGTCAGAAGTGTCTCTTGATTCTAAGAACTATGAATGCCGGCCAGGCAACCTCTATCTTCAATATAATTAAGACCAATTTTGGTCCCGAGGTGGCAGAAGTGTCTCTTGATTCTAAGAACTATGAATGCCGGCCAGGAAACCTCTATCTTCAATATAATTAAGACCAATTTTGGTCCCGAGGTGGCAGAAGTGTCTCTTGATTCTAAGAACTATGAATGCCGGCCAGGCAACCTCTATCTTCAATATAATTAAGACCAATTTTGGTCCCGAGGTGGCAGAAGTGTCTCTTGATTCTAAGAACTATGAATGCCGGCCAGGCAACCTCTATCTTCAATATAATTAAGACCAATTTTGGTCCCGAGGTGGCAGAAGTGTCTCTTGATTCTAAGAACTATGAATGCCGGCCAGGCAACCTCTATCTTCAATATAATTAAGACCAATTTTGGTCCCGAGGTGGCAGAAGTGTCTCTTGATTCTAAGAACTATGAATGCCGGCCAGGCAACCTCTATCTTCAATATAATTAAGACCAATTTTGGTCCCGAGGTGTCAGAAGTGTCTCTTGATTCTAAGAACTATGAATGCCGGCCAGGCAACCTCTATCTTCAATATAATTAAGACCAATTTTGGTCCCGAGGTGTCAGAAGTGTCTCTTGATTCTAAGAACTATGGATGCCGGCCAGGCAACCTCTATCTTCAATATAATTAAGACCAATTTTGGTCCCGAGGTGGCAGAAGTGTCTCTTGATTCTAAGAACTATGAATGCCGGCCAGGAAACCTCTATCTTCAAGATAATTAAGACCAATTTTGGTCCCGAGGTGTCAGAAGTGTCTCTTGATTCTAAGAACTATGAATGCCAGCCAGGCAACCTCTATCTTCAAGATAATTAAGACCAATTTTGGTCCCGAGGTGTCAGAAGTGTCTCTTGATTCTAAGAACTATGAATGCCAGCCAGGCAACCTCTATCTTCAAGATAATTAAGACCAATTTTGGTCCCGAGGTGGCAGAAGTGTCTCTTGATTCTAAGAACTATGAATGCCGGCCAGGCAACCTCTATCTTCAAGATAGTGGTGTATATATATACAACTATAGAACAATTCTCCAATCAACATATTGATGTTGTAGGGAGCCACTGGGAAGGATCATTTATGTACGAGTGAAATCAGATGTAGGCTCCACAAAGCAATGTCAGAGAAAATTTATTGAAAGAGTCAAAACTATATTTACAAAAAAATTATACTTTTACAAGTATTTTAACTATCATTCCCCCCCTTTTTTTTTTTTTGTAATCATCTAGCATATTTTAACCATTTCCAGTTTATTATTATTTTTTTATAGTCATTATTTTATCAATTTTGCTGCAGACTCTCCTGGCTGCTACATTTATTTTAAAATGTGGGTTTGGTACAGTTGGTTAGGTGCTCCTGGGATAATGGGGATCTTCTTTTCATCATACAGGACTTATCTTGTTATTGAGAATGGTTCTGTGTCTGCTGTGAGGAGGGGTTTCATCATGGAACATCCAGAGTACAGAATTCTTTGATCAACAACTATGATCACATGGTCTGGTCTGTAGTCAAAACAATATCTCTCTAGCAGAGATAATAATTGACTTCAAAATAAACCATCATTGATTTGCAGATACAAAAACTTGAAAGTTTTCCTGTCTTAAGAAATAAATTTTTACTGGGAACAGTTTGTTTTTCATTGTTTTCTTAAGCATCTAGGAAGCTTTGATACAATCATTAGACTGAACTTGCTGCTGTTTCCATCACTCCAGTCAGAATCTATTTGC